AGAAAACGAGGTGCAACGGAATTATTTTTGTGTCGAATCAACTCTCATCTTATTTTTTGCATGCTGTGAATAGTTTCGCAACATCAAAGGAGCTTGTATTTTCTCCAATGTCACGCGTGATATTACGAGAGTATGAGAGCGGAAAAATCTCAGTTTGATAATTGATTATTTTTTCGTTGTTTATTAATTTGTTTGATAAGGTTCAACCGAATAAACTTTACAGAACCGAGGATTCTTGTTCACTATACAATACATCTTAAAACTATAGTCACAGGGAACAGCACAATAAACTCTTTGTCTTCCGCTATCCAATATGCCTCTTCGATTAGAAAGGGAGTCGCTTCCAGTAATTTCATTGTATGGCAGTATAGCCAACAGGGGGCAGAAAGCTTCCATTGCAGCAATGAGCGCAAAACGTGGTCAGCACTCACACACTCATCACGAAACGGTTGTTTTCCAAAGTCGACGACGTGTCGACCGAAAGAACTGCTGATGAAGAACAATGAGGAGGACCACACAATGGTTGCTGCCGAGAATGGCCTGCTTCTGTTGACAGCCGAGTGAACACTGATAATTGATTATGACATCACTGGTTTGCAGACTTGCAGACACCTAGTGAGCCAAATTTGAACTATTCTATTTACCTTCACAGAGTTTTACTCTACTGAAGTGCTTTGCCGAATACGGGATTTCATACCAATCAATATTTCTTCTCACCTCGAGTAAATCATTTAAAAACTTAACTAGGAGAAATGGCTCTAAGTTGGCCTATGGATCTAAAGATTACGCCCATCGATAAAAATCTCCGGTTCTTTATTTTTCTTAGAACAATGCGTCACCTAGACAACACAAATGGATATTGCTAGTGAAAAATTGGCAAAAATGCATTCTATCATTGTATGTACCGTGCCGATTCAAATTTCGGACACTTAAACTCGAATTTCGGACACTTTTAAAAGTTGATTATCTCGGTCGAATATGATCCACATGTCTTGTAAATTTTAATTTTTTTTGACTAGTGCCCTCCACGATCATCTAACATTATTACTTTGTTTCTAACTGGATGTAATATTTAATTAAAAATGAAAGTGTCCGAAATTTGAATCGTCCGAAATTTGAATCGGAACGGTACACATGTATGTTTCGTTTTCGCCGATCTTAGCAAACTTGACGTTTGTTTGCTGATATTCAACAAAATATTTTCCGAGACTCAACAACCAAAGGTCAATTCTGCTGAGGGCAAAGATTGCAGAGATTCGGCAAATAAAATTAAGTGTGTATGGGCCCAATATAAGGTACACCTAGGCCGAAATTGGGGACATTAACCCTATGTGACATTTGAAAGCTCTCACGGGATTGTCATTGGCGTAGCTCAGAAAAATTCCTGGGGGGTGGGGTCTGTCTAAATTCATTTTTTTAATTAGGCAATTAGCGAACATCTTTGATGTGTAAGTAAAATTAGTAATTGTAGTAACAATGGTGTCGGTTAAATAATTTTCATTTAAATTGACCATCACGACCAAGCCTCTAGTTCCCTTGAAAACTTTACCGGCAGGGTGACCAGTAAATCGAGAAATCCGGAAAACGCCAGGAATTTGAAATCACATGGAAAAAATCCAGCAAAAGGCCGTTAATTTTGATCACAAATCGGGTAAAAATGTACTTCGTCTTCACTTCGGAAGAATAATATTCTGTACCTTGCACAAATGTCAAGATCCTTGAACTGGAGTAGATTTTCAGAATAAGTCTCTTTGAAGAACCATAGTTCCAGAGAACGTTGAGGAGTTCTTAGCATGCATTCTAGGGATGACAATAAAGTATTTCAGCGAAAAATTCCAAAGGAGTTTAGGGAAGAACTTTTAGAAAATTTTGGTTACAATTTCAAGTCAATTGTGTCAGTTCAAAGTAGTTAATTTAGGTAGATCTGGAGGAAATTCTATGTTTATTGTGAAGCGATTGTAGGTTCATTTCTAATCAATATTCTAAATAAGTTCTGAGAAGAATTTGTAGAGAGTTCTGATGAGATTTCCATGGCAATTTTGAGGATATTGAATTCTGAGTAGTGTTTCCATTTTCCGACATTTTTAACTACCTGCCAATTGGGAAACAGCGGGTGGCTCTTCCCGGAAATTCCAGGCAATCGGGAAATAATTATATCCAGTAACCAGATAGGTTAATCAAAATGTTCATGTTTTAATTTCTGTTGAACGATACATGAAGGCGCAATACGCTATGCTCTGTTATGCTAACGATTCATGAAGGGTTCTGGCTTTTCCTTAAATTGTCTTCCTTTCTTTGTAAATAGTTTTTCGTGGGATTTTCCGGAATTTTTCCCGAAATCTTTTTGTCAGATATTTGTTCAGATGTTCTGCTGTTTTTTTCCCAGGAAAGTATATCCGACATAATTCCAAAACTTATCTCGCTATTTTGTTAAAACATCTTCCGAAATTTCCGACCGATTTTTCCTGGAAGATTCTCCCGATTTCTTCCCAAAGTTTCTCCCGACATCTCCCAGAATTATTTTTTGCATCGCGTGGAAGTATCTGTCTTCTGGATTTTTTCTGGAAGTGTCTTTTGGCTTCTCCAAGATATTCTATTTTTACAAGCTACCACTTTTTGATACTTTTTCCGACATTATCCAGAAGCTTTCTCTGATCTATAACAGCTTCTTTTAATAAGTTTTTTTTCGAATACTCTCCCATTTATTTTTCGAATTCACGTGGAAGCTTATCCAAACTTCCTCTAAAATATTTTTAAAATAAAACTGAAGGTTCTGTAACTGACAACTTCCGGAAGTTTCTTTCCACATCCATCAGAAAATTTTTGCGACTTCACCTGGAACTGTCCTCAAAATTCCTTATGAAATCCATCTGGCTTTCGCTGGAAGTGATTTCCAGCTTTCTCCAGACGTTTTTCGCTCAGAAATTTGTTCCGACTTCTTTCGAAAGTTTCTTTTGATTCCCCACGGAAGTTTCTCCCAACATCCTAAAGAAGAATTTTTGCCCTCCGCTGAAATTATTTTCTGTCAAGATCCGATAAACACGGATTTTGGAAACTAAGACATGTTTCTCGGCAACAACTGAACCGAATTGGACGCATCAAACGCTAAATGAAAGGTTTCAGGGCCCAATAGAAAGCTTTTAAATATTTTTGGAATCGGTCAACTGGTTCCGGAGATATGGACGAAAATAGGTCCGAAAAATATGGATTTTGGGAACTAAGTCGTGTTTCTCGGCAACTACTAAACCAAATTGTACCCAAAAAAACCTCAAAAAGAAAGGTTTCATGGTCTTATTTTTAGACTCAGTCCACTTATTCCGAAGATATGGACGAAACAAGAACCGAAAAACATGGATTTTGGGAACTTAGTCGTGTTTCTCGGCAACCAGCTACCCGAATTGGATGCAACAACCGTTAAATGAAAGGTTTCATATTCTCATAGAATGCTTTTGAATATTTTTGGAATCGGTCAACTGATTCCGGATATGTGGACAGAACAAGATACGAAAACACGGATGTTGGGCACTACGTCGTGTTTTTCGGCAACCAGTTAACCCAATTGAACGCAACAACCAAATTAATGCTAAATGCTAAATGAAAGGTTTCAGAGTCCAATAGAACTCTTCAAATATTTTTGGAATCGGTCAACTCATCCCGGAGATATGGACGAAACAAGATCCGAAAAACATGGATTTTGGAAACTATGTCGAACCAGTCAACCGAATTGGACGCAACAACCACCAAATGAAAGGTTTCAAGATCCTATAGTTCTGAATCTTTCTGGTTATGCCAGCTGGTTCCAGAGATATGACCGGAACATGTTCCGATTTGTATGGGCCATGAGGCTAAATCCGACCTGGAACGAATAAAACCCATCATGTGACACATCAAATGTCGTGAGAATTAAAAAAATTCAATGGTAGTCATTTAATGTGCCCAAGACCACACTGGTACCCCCGGGAAAGTGGCTTGTTTTTGACTAGGGTTAAAACCCATCATGCGATACCTCAAATGACATGGCAATTAAAAAAAACAGTTAAATGGTAGTAATTTGATGTGCTGAGGACCACACTGACTGGCCACACTCGGACAGGTTCCGAGTACCTGAGGAGAAGTGGCCATTTTCTGATTAGGGTCAAAACCCATCATGCGATACCTCAAATCACATGAGAATTTAAAAACCAGTTCAATAATAGTCATTCGAAGTACCCAGGGCCACGCTGGTCAAATCTGGCCATGTCCCGGGGGTCAAAACCTATCATGCGATTACTCAAATCACCTCATATCATATGAGCACTTTTGTCGGAATTTCTATTAGCAAGAAGGATCAGATCGCACCATAGGCGAATTAATTCAGGTTTTAAAATAAATTTCAAAATCTTGTTTTATTTCATGAAATTAAAAAAGCTTCCCAAGGAACTTTAATACAAACATATTCGGCATTGTCGTTAGTCAACATTTACTAACACCCAAATCAACATTGTCGTCGATTGAGAAAGATCGTGCTACGGTTTTTTATGGTTTACATATGTACGTGAAGCATTTATGCCTGGTAAAAAAATAAATCTCCACAAACATCAACATTGAGATACACGTACATTCCGTAAATTCTCTACTTAATCTTCGAACAACTTCAAGTTGTTGCCGATCACCAACCATTTTCCATTTTTCCCAGACACCATTATTAATCATTTCCCAATGCATGGTTCAATTTTCCCGCTTAAGTCATCCGTGTATAAATATAAAAGATCCCAACGAGCGCAAGATCAAGACCGAAAATCATCATCCTCGATCTTGAAAATTCGGCCTTATGCGTTACATCGAGAAGAAAGACACCCAGTTGCCGGGTGTTGCATCAGTTTGCCAATGTATCTATTTAACCAAATTACTAATCTTCTACTTTCTCGACGACCCGTCGCTCCCCATGAGTCATCCCGGCGGGATGACACACTCGCCCCGTTCGAAATTGATTTAATTTCCATCAAATTTGGGAAACTCACCTGTGCAATACACTGCTCCTTTCAGCGATGTACAATTAGTATTCCGTAAGTTGTTGTAACAACAGCAGCAGCAGCAGCAGCAGCAGCAACGTAGGGAGAGGTCGGCGGAACAACGCGACAACAAATTGCCGGCTTTTCTTTCCTGTCGTAAAACTGTCACTCCCTCACTCCAAACCAGTTCTCGAAAAACACCGCGGCGCGCCCGGCGCGAATATAGTACATAAATTTTTCACTTTTACTTTTTACCTCCCGCTACGCCAACATCCACTACACTTGGCGAGGACTTTTCGGCTCGCAGCGTGCGCGCGTCCAACTGTCCAAACAAGCATGTGAAAATTATGATGACAACATTTCACCGAAAAATCACTCTTCTCACGTTTCTTTTCCGTGTTTCGGGAGGGAAAGGGCGACTGAGGATATGGGACGTTAGGTCACTGCCCCTCGTCCGCCTGTCCGTCCGGTCGTTCGTCCACGCTGACTGCAAATAGGTGGTTGATTAGATAACTGTTTGATCGTTCCGCGGGAAATTCCACCAAATTCCCGACGCTGGCTGTCGCCCTTGTTGTCCAACTGGCTGTAAATCACAGCGAAACGCACGTTGAAATGATTTACTGTTTGTTGTCCTTTTGAAATGTCCACAATCCACAACTCTTCCTTCTGTACAACTGCCTAACAAAGAATCTCGCGTGATCCAAACACAATCACTTTTGCTTGTTTATAACTCAAACAACGACGCAAACTGAAAATCTAGATCAAGTTCTGCAATATTTTCCGCTCAATCACGTCCGGAATCGCGACCGTCGAAGATCCACCACACAATCGGGCAGATCTTTGTTCGCGCAAATCGTGAAAAACCTGGCAACTTGAGGCGAACGTCGTGGTTGCTTACTGGTGGCGGTCCTAGCACCGACTGATGATCGTGACGAGGATGAATTTTCCTCCTCCTCACGAGCCAGGAGGGAAAAGTCGCGTTCAAACCGCCAATGATCACCGTCGTGACGCAGAAGCAGCAGCAGCACACCAAGCCGCACTATACACGATCGTTGCTACTGTTTGTATTGCGCTGGATGCGGCCTGTTGGCGGCGTCCTCCCGCGGTTGTTGTAGCAGACGACATGGTCACCAACACATCATCATCATCATTCGGTGTAGTTTAATTTAAAGCGCATTGTTTGGATTTGTTTTTCCTCTTTCTAAACGACCGTGGAGGAACTACTATAATACTCATTTGCATGTGTTGTGTGCTGATGTAGCATGTACGCACGCACATGATCGCGAGAGGATGAAAGACGTTCAAGTTGGATCTTGGTGGCTCCTGCCGCGAAGTTGAGTTTTTGTGACGCCGCGAGTTGTTCCAGAGCCGACAGTAGGTAGGTATGTACGTTGTTGGAATTGGGTGAGATCTCGCGAGATCACATGCTCCATTGAACGTTGGTCACCAGTGATGCACATTGGGAGTCAATGTGAGATTAATTGGACATATTTCATGTCGTGTGAAACAAAGATTTGTGACCAAGCCTGTCATGGTGGTTACTCATTGCTACTCCATGAGTAACCAGCCCCGAAAACTTAGGGGGCCTACAAATGGCAATCTCTGCTCCGTAACGTGGGTAGATCACCTTTTCGTGGTACGTTACGGGATGTAAGATCTACCACCGATTCCTAGTCCTAACTACTTCAAACTAGGGGAACAGGTTTTTTCAGTAATCCAAGGAACACATCTTAGTCCTTGTTACTTTTTATGCCTTGTTGATAGTGACAAGACTCGGCTTTGCCCACCGAGGATGATCTTGAAACAAGGAAAAAATGAGTTAGTCTTCATCTATGTGGATACGGATACGTCTATTAACGTCTCTTTAAACTGTTCCCCTACAAGAAGAGAATTTAGTTCATTCGAGACGGGTTCATCTATGTGATTCCTAATCTTCTATTTGTTGTTCCTTAGTTTGAAGTGGTTAAGACTAGTGTTCTGATGCATGGTCATTATCGGTGTCATTCTTTAATTTTGTTGCTGAGGAATCCAATTTTGACTGACAAAGGGGCGCGCCTTTGGAGGGTCTTTCAACATTTCGAAGGTTATAAATAGGGGAACCTTTCAATTAGAGTCGGATCCTTGCGACAAATGCAAGAATGACTACTGTAAAAAAAAATCGAATACTTTATCATTTCTCAATAGTGATGGAGTAATATAACATGCACTGAACTTAAGACACGGGATAGACTACAATAGAGTTCTCTACCATCGTTAGTATTAGTGAGAAGTTTCACTAATACATGCATTTTACTGGTTGAAAATAAAAAACAAACCGCTGTCAAGTCGAACACTTTGACAGCTGATTTTGTGGTTGAAAATAATAAACAAATCGATTTTACACGGCTACGCTCGCTAGGTTGTATGAGTGAGATCCTGCTTCGGGAAGTCAATAGATCAAATTACTGGTCGCAGCGGTGTTAGGTCCCGAACAGAGGAAAAAAGAGGAATGGCAATCTATTTACATGCGCTGCTCAAAGCTGCGCACGAAAATGCTTATGGGAATTTCCGGACGCCATATATGCGCTTATATAAACAAAATTGCATTGCAAAAAAAACATGAGAAATATTCTGTCTTAATCCAGATTCAAGCTGTGTCCTTAAATGTGAAATGCAAAAAGTACAAAATCAGAAAACAAAACGCGTGAATCAGATATAAAATTAGTTGTACACAGTTTGATTTTATTCTGGTTGCCTCATGAATTCTCATACGCTCCTGCATGACATACAGGACATCCTCAAATGCTTTACCTTCGGATCCAAATTTTCAACAGGCACTCTTGTAAGTGAAGCAAACGTTTGAAAAAAAATGGTGGGGTTATGCACAAGACACGACCGCATGGTTGACGTAGACTATGTTGAGCTGTTTAGTGAACGTCTCATGCATTTTTCATGATATTGACGAATGCACGGATGGATTTGAGTTCACTCACTCGACAAAAAGTGACACAACAGCGGGGCCCTGTTTACTAAAAATTAACTCATATGTGTTCATTTTTAGTAAACAGGGCCCCGCTGTTGTGTCACTTTTTGTCGAGTGAGTGATTTCAAATCCATCCGTGCACTCGTCAATTGATGTAAAATACAGCATTTCGGTCCTATGTACATATTTTAGATTTCATCCTATAGTTTATGTAGGGGAAATGGCTCTTATCCCGAGCAAAGTCCAGCATCAAAATGACAGCAAATTGAAATCATGTTTTGATATCAACATCAAACTGAAATCATAATTTGATTTCAGTTTAGGCAATTGACAAATTTGATACCAAATTTTGATTTCATTTTGCTGTGCATTTGCTCTTCAAAAATATGTTGTTGCGGGTTTGTTTTCCCGAGCAAAGTCTGAGATCAAATTGAAATCTAAATTTGATGTTGTGATTTCGCTGATAATGATTGCTCAGGTTGCTGTCGTTTTGGTCGTTTTAACGGTTAAAATATCAAAATTGAGAGCAAAGCAATCTTCCAATCACATTGAAAACTATTTCTGCTATCAGTGAGAGCAAACTGAAAACTCAATTTGATATCAATTTTTCCTGTTGTTAACAAAACAAGTATTTAATTTGATGTTATGCTAAGGCAATGAAAACACCCATAACAACATATTGTTAAAGAGTAAATGTACAGCAAAATGAAAACAAAATTTGATATCAAATTTATCAATGTGTAAACTGAAATCAAATTATGATTTCAGTTTGATGTTGATATCAAAACTTGATTTCAATTTGTTGTCATTTTGATGCTGGACTTCGTTCGGGTTTATTGCCTTAGCATAACATCAAATTGAATACTTGTTTTGTTTTCAACAGGAAAAAATGATATCAAATTTAGTTTTCAGTTTGCTCTCACTGATAGCAGAAATAGTTTTCAATGTGATGTCATAGGAAGATTTTTTTGCTCTAAATTTTGATATTTTAACCGTTAAAACGACCAAAACGACAGCAACCTGAGTAATCATTATCAGCGAAATCACAACATCAAATTTAGATTTCAATTTGATCTCAGACTTTGCTCGGGATGTTGGCCTCATGGTGAAATATAGAATGGTGTAACGAGATGTCAAAAAACATGATCACCCATATTGAAAAAAACAACTGCCAATCATGACAGGGCATCAGATTGTTTACAAACAAATTAATTAAGGATTGATTTAGTCAATCATGGTTAAAATAATACGTTGATTTGATAGTGCTTTATTCGTCAATGAAATGAATGTTGTGCAAGTTTATAATTGTTAAAAAAAAAAGAAAACATGTGTGAAAACACAATGAAGCTACATTTTTTTAACTAGAAAATATTTTCAATTTCAGGAGAAATATGTTTCTCATGGAACCAATATCCGGCTTCGTACATAAAACGAAGGAATTTGCAGATTAAATTACTATTTGGTGAAAATTTGAACGGATGAGACTTGAAATTATAAAGATGCAAATACTAAAAAAATATCAAAAATGTATGCAAAGAATGCACAGTGATAAATGGCTTGTTTTTGTTTTGTTTTCTGTGTTTAATTAAATGGATTTAATATATTCTTGTTCAAGGCCTAAAATATAGTGAAGCTGCGAAATAAAATACCACAAAATTAACCACAAATTATGTGTCAGAATTAAATGCAATGAGAGTCGATGCTATCAGTACCAGCTGAAGATTATGTAGCGATGTAATGAAAATGATGGTAGCCTTATTTTATCCCGAGTTTTATTCTGTATTTTATAATGTATATATTTACAAGTTTTATGATTTACGGAGAGCACAACTTTTTGTATTTCTTAGCGAGATGGCTTTTACTTTTGATCCGGTTTTGCTGCGATGGCGTCTTGTTGACCAAATCTGAAGACTTTTTTCGTTTTCTTTTTGATGTTGAAGGCCCCTGATCCTAAGATACTAATGTTTCATCAACTAGTTTCAATAAGCCTTGTTCAACTAAATTTCCGTATCGCATACGCACGATAGTACAGATTTTGACGTACTTTTTCACTACTGTCCTGTCGAAGTTCGGGTATTGTTGTAGAATCCGATTCACTACCGTTTCAATTACACTTTTTTTAAATCAAAGATTTTTTCCATCACTTTACCAATCGATTGAAATTCCGGGGATGGAACTGTTAGTCCACCATATGAAAGATGAGCTATAAACGGGGGGAGAGGTAGCTCATCGATTCTTCCGGTTCGCCTCCTAGCATCGTGCTATAAGGTACCAGGCGATAACCAGGGTAGTTGATCGATAGCTCGATGACGTCATTTCGTTGACGTCTGCAATGGGAAATTCTCATAGCAGGCGTTGACGATGGGACGTTGTCGAGTTGTTGAATAGCAACTATCGTGGTAACTCACCGATTACCTGTCGATCTGCCAAATTTGGAAAGACGTCTGCATTGAATTGTCTCATATAATAATATTCCGCCCACTATATCACAAGAAACTGCGACTACATGAGTGGAATGGAGATAAGTTAAGCATTGGGTACAGGACCAAGTCTCCCCTGGGTGGTGCTAAAAGATGAGCACAAAAGAATCATCAAGTTGCCATAAGGCACGGAATGAGACTATTGCATGGCTGGGTAGTCAAAGTCTTCTATTCGTTAGTCATTTCAGGTGGATTAGAACAGGTTTAGGTGGGCGTTGGCCAGATTTGGATTTTTCAGATGTAATCCTGGATAGGACCCTGTCATTGAACGTCGCGTGAAAGTGGAACTTAATGAAGGCCTAAGTACTTTTTCGTAGTTTTTAGTTTTCAGATTTGAAAGATCGTCGGTTACAGTGGCCTGCTTACTGAGCAGAAAAACGCGGTCCTTGGTCCTTACATATCAAAGAGATTTAGAGCCTTAGAGCAACCGTTTTTGCTTACTGAGCAGAACATCATGAGTCTAATCTCAGGCCCATCCACATTCAAGATTCGTCAATTGTTTTATTTGTTAATATGACTACATGGTAATAACAGCAA